GTGTCTTATTTTTATAAATTCATTTTCTATGTTGTCCACTAGAATAATTCAGGCACTTTCGTCACCCTTGTTTCTATTTGAGAGCATAAAACTTCAGTTTTCAACAACAGATTAGAACTGCAAGATGCTTATCAAATCAAATCAAATCAACTTTATTTATACAGCACTTTTCATACAAAAAATGCAACTCAAAGTGCTTTACAGATTAAAATGGCCCCATAGATCCCATATTCCCATCCCAGCCCCCCTCCCCAAGTATAAAACAATTAAAAATTACAGTTCCCCTCCCGCACCCAACTTCCAAAGTGGACATACAATCACCCGCACACTCGTCCATGCACACACACACACACACACACACTCGTGAACACCAGAGGAAACAATAGGCTGAGTTCAGATGGGTCAGGTAATGAACGACACATCATCAGCGGAGCCATCTGCCCTGGCAATAACAGATCCACGGCAGCAGCCAAGACACCGGCCCATGACGCCCAGTGGCGTAGGGCAGAAACCCCCACCAGTGCCCGGGCACTACCCGAGGAGCGCCCCGGCCGCCGCCGGCCCCAAGGCAGAGGGCTCCGCAGAGGAAACACTGGAGGATTTAAGATATATAACATATAAAATAATAAAAGCTAATAATGATAAAAAGTAACTGATAAAAAGTGATTATAAAGATAGTAAAAGAAAACATAATCATGTAAAAACACTAAGATGTAGATAAAATGATAAAAATAATAAAAGAGATAAATATGTACTTATAGATAAATAGTGATCAGTTAAAAGCTAAGCTAAAAAGGTGGGTCTTGAGCCTATTCTTAAAAGCCTGGATGTTCCCTTCGGACCTGAGGTCCTCCGGCAGCCCGTTCCAAAGGCGAGGGCCGTAGTACTTGAAGGACGCCTCGCCATGGGTGTGAGTCTTGACTTTAGGGATAACTAGGAGACGGCTGCCAGAGGAGCGCAGAGACCGCGGGGGTTTATATAGTAAAAGCAGTTCTGAAAGATAAGAAGGCCCAAGACCATTAAGATACTTAAAAACTATTAAAAGAACCTTAAAATCAATCCTGAAACATACGGGGAGCCAGTGCAGTGATTTTAAAACCGGTGTGATGTGCTCCCGCTTCCTGGTCTTCATCAGGACACGTGCTGCTGAGTTTTGTAAAAGTTGTAAACCTGAGATGCTCTTTTTGGGAAGACCAGAATGCAGGGCATTGCAGTAATCAATTCTACTGGTTACAAAAGCATGCACTAGCGTCTCCGTATTGGCCCGAGAGAGAATGGGTCGGACTCTGGCGATATTCTTAAGATGGTAAAAACCTATTTTTGTGTTTATAATAATAATAATAATAATAATAATGTCTCTGGTGTCGTTTTAAGCTTTTGGCATCTTGTTTTCTAAATAAATGGTCCAATAGCATGCAATCTGAAGTCTTTATCTCCTTAAATCTTGAAATATGAAAATAATAAGATTTTTTTAAACTGAACAACTAATTGTCTAATATTAAAATAAAAACTTTACAATAATATTATGTAATTGCATGATTATGATACAGAAATAAATGTGGCCCTTACCGCCTGTAGACCCTCCACTAGAGGGCAGTAGACGTGTGTAGGACTGGACATGGCAGGTTTCTGATGAAGGTAATCCTGATTCTCCATCACCTGTTGTCTGTGCTTCAGACAAAATAGTTTAGCAGCAATAAGAACCCCATTGGGAGTTGGAAGCTTGTGTTTTTATTTAAAATTAGGTATAAAACTTGTTGAAGGGAAATTAATGAAGACAAGATTGTTTAACTCTGCATTGTTTCCCATGAAACGGAGGCAGAATTCAGAAAGAACTGAAACAGATGCCTTCATGCCAAAACAGTTAATATCAATGTTCTGTGTTATTAAGGTGTGCGTGATGCATATCGTAGTGTAAGTAGCTGTGTCTGTCTCTCTTACATTTGGGATGTTTAGGTTGGGAAACTGGCCAAAAGTTTTCTCTGTTTTGTGATAAAATTCTGGAAAACTTTCATGTGATTCCTTCCTTTTCATTTCGCTCAACAGAATCTACAAATACTGCATAAATAACTGAAGTAAACACGAGTGAAGTAACTCCCAAAATGATGAGGATGCAATTCATGTTTGAGGTGTTTAGAAAAACGTCTTAGAGGAAGGAGAAGTGTTGAGTTTGTAGCTGAATCTACGATGTCCTGTGACCCTGAATGACTTTTAAAACTGCAGCAACACAATTCAATCTTTGCTGGCTTCAGACTAGCTGTTAGCTCATCCATCCTTTAGGATGGAAACTCTGTTTCTCTGAACAGAGGCTGTTCAGGAAGCTAGATGAAGCAGGTAAACTTCCACTTGCACTTCCAGACAGGATATCATGCAGCTGTTGCTTCGATCCTCCCCAACACGAGGGCTTAACCACAACTTCCTGTACACGGCATGCTTCGCAGAGAGGCAGAGCTGAGCATCAGCAAAGCGTCATATACCTACTATCCCCTACACGCATCGTGTTTTCTGTCTTTGCACATTACGAGGGTGACCAATGGTAGGAATGAAAGGTCACACAAAAAGTCACACACACCAGAAATGTGGGTGAGAAGTTCCATATCCCCAAAAGGGCTGAGGTGGACTTTCCACACACGGAAAATTGACAATTTTTCCCAAATCCTTGGAATCTGCGGCTGTTAAACCTCTTCTAGAGAAAAGAAAGTCTGATCACTCAGAGATGAATAACTACAGACCAATCTCTAATCTCCCTTTTATTGGGAAAATGATTGAAAAAGCAGCTTTGATTCAGCTGAACAACTTTTAGAGACACACAACCTGCTAGATGGTTTTCAGTCAAGCTTTAGACAACGCCACATCACTGGGACTTAAATTTTACAGGTAGTTTAACTGCAGATGAAACTGCAGACATTATGTATTATAAATGAGTAATCTTATAGCATGCAGGTGGCTAATTCTTACAGCAAACACATGTTTATCCATCTAATATTACATTCAGGGTTAAATTCGGTCTGTATTTATGTTGGACTGCTCTAGCATACATTATCTGTTGGAAGGCTACATTGTGAAAAAGAAATAAAATGTAAATTTTTCAGTTTTGCTCTTTAAACTGTAAAATTATTACATATTCAGAATAATTTGACATTTTAATTTAAGCTATTTTGAGCGTGGCGTGGTTGTTGGTGCCAGACGGGCCGGTCTGAGTATTTCACAATCTGCACAGTTACTGGGATTTTCACCCACAACCATTTCTAGAGTTCACAAAGAATGGTGTGAAAAGGGATAAACATCCAGTATGCAGCACTCCTGTGGGTGAAAATGCCTTGTTGATGCTAGAGGTCGGAGGAGAATGGGCCGACTGATTCAAGCTGATGGAAGACCCTAACCCTCGTTACAACCGAGGAACGCAGCAAAGCATTTGTGAAGCCACAACACGCACAACCTTGAGGTGGATGGGCTGCAACAGCACAAGACTCCAGCGGGTACCACTCACCTCCACTACAAATAGGAAAAAGAGGCTACAGTTTGCACCAGCTCACCAAAATTGGACGGTTGAAGACTGGAAAAGTGTTGCTTGGTCTGATGAGTCTTGATTTCTGATGAGACGTTCAAATGGTGGAGTCAGAATTTGACATGAACAGAATGAGAACATGGATCCATCATGCCTTGTTACCACTGTGCAGGCTGGTGGTGGTGGTGTCATGGTGTGGGGCATGTTTTCTTGGCACACTTTAGGCCCCTTAGTGCCAACTGGGCATGGTTTAAATGCCACGAGCTACCTGAGCATTGTTTCTGACCATGTCCATCCCTTCATGACCACCATGTACCCGTCCTCTGATGGCTACTTCCAGCAGGATAATGCACCATGTCATAAAGCTCAATCATTTCAAATTGGTTTCTTGAACACGACGATGAGTTCACTGTACTACAACGGCCCCCACAGTCACCAGATCTCAACCCGATGGAGCATCTTTGGGATGTGGTGGAACGGGAGCTTCGTGCCCTGGATGTGCATCCCACAAATATCCATCAAACTGCAAGATGCTATCGGCCAACATTTCCAAAGAATGCTTTCAGCACCTTGTTGAATCAATGCCACGTAGAATTACAGCAGTTCTGAAGGTGAAAGGGGGTCAAACACCGTATTAGTGTGGTGCTCCTAAAAATCCTTGTCAGTGTAAATATAAGCTGAATTGTATTTATAGCTAAATGAAATGAGAAAAAGACTTTTAGAGTGAAACTCGTAGCTAAGGCCAAAGTGCTGTTGCATTTTATTTAGAAAGAATTTGTTTCTGATTATTGTAACTTATTAAGTGCTGTTTCCTCTCCTTGTATTGATGTTCTTTCTTCTTCTTCCTCTTCATCTTCTTCTAGTTTTCCAGGTGGCTGAACTCTATTTCTGAGTTATTTTTAACAAAGCATCCCAAGAGACACGTGCCCATGCTACATTTTAAAAACTCTTTCTGAACATTGGTTAAGCATTCATCACGCTGTAATATCGGTGTGTAAATATTATCCGCACCGGATGACAGACAATTTCTTGCTCATTTTCCTTTTCTTGTGGGCTTTTGAGTTTCATTTTGAGTGAACTGTGAGTGTTTGTGTAATCTGGGTGTCTAGATTTGTGACAGACGTAATTGTTGCTCTTATAATAAACACTTTCATAAACTCCGGTTATTGCCGCGGAAACTCTGATAAATAAGCAAAGAAAAAAATATAGATTCAAGCTTCCGTTTATTCTCAGTTTACACATTTTAAAACTCTTCAGTTTCGTTTCCTTGAGTTTTGCCTTTTTCTGATGCTGTGACAGTAGCCCCTACACAGCCTCTCACTGGTCAGTCTTCCTGTCAGTCAGTTCTACTGACCAATGAGAGGCCTGAAAACGCGCAGAAAGGCGGGGCCTTGCAAGCACTTGCACTTTAACACGCAGTTAATTTGGATACCTGCTCCTGTGAGCGGCGTTGTCACTGACACTGACTCCAAGGTAATGTACCGCCGGGTGGGGGGATTCTAGCTCTTTTAAGCTAGTTTACGTTTTTGTTGTTGTTGTATTGGATTTTAATGACATAGGGACGATGTCTTAGATATTTGAACATCGTTTTTAACTTAAGCTAGCGCCACACTTTAAAAAATCTGCTCGTTTGTCGTCTGGGTTTGTAACGTATCGTCTTGTGTCTTTACCGGGCGGGCGGACACGTCTCCGGTCGGCCAGGCTAGAGAAGCGCGTAGGTGATCGAACCAGCTAGTCATGGCTCTGGACGGATGTGGGCTCGTCTGCAAATTCTTCCTCGTCCTCTTCAACGTGATCTTCGCGGTGAGTCCAGGATTGTTGCATGTACCGCCCAGAGAGGGTTTGCAAGAATCCAGATACATGTTTTATTTGTTTGTTGTTATTTGTTTGTTGTTGTTGTAGTAGAACTGGAAGAAGATCGCTTTCCTTCATTAAAGGGCGACTCCGAGGAGTCTTCTTCTAGTTTAGACCGTTAACACTGGACTACTCTGCAGCATCTACAGAGTTATTAACACACTTTGTGATTAGTCACTAATGGAAATACAGAAAAGGGACTTTTTGTCTCCTTGGGGGCACGCGGACCACTAAACTACTTTAATAATTCAAACCAAGTCTAAATGACATCTGAATCAATTTCCCTCTGAGATTAATAAAGTATTTTTGAATTGAACCATATTAAATGTAGATTATTTAAAGTAAATGTTGTGATTTTAGAAACATTTTGATCTTTACCTGTTTCAGTTCCTTAAAGGAAGTGGGGTCATTGTTCAGTGTTGTATTTGCACTGGCGTGGTTCATAAACTCCTCACATAGTTCAAAGCTGAATTAAATAAACGTAATAAAAAGTCTTAAAAACACTGATCAATTAATTATTTAAAGGTGCAAGTTAAATCTGAAATCTGGAGGTTTTTCTCAAAGTGCACCGCCATCTAGAGGTGGAAATATGTATTCCACTTTAAAGATGTATAGAAAATCTGCAGAGCAAGCTAGGGGTGTTTCTTAGTAGCTGTTTTTACAGGACCATAACGTTTGCAAAACGGGATTTGCCGCGGCTCCCTGGGGAGGATAAAGTTTCAAATCAATCAAAGATACTTTATTAATCCCAGAGGGAAATTAGAGTTTCAGTACACACAATTCAGAGATCAGACATACATGGGCAAGACACATGACAAGAATTGTGACTGTGGTCATTCGCAACCCTGAGTCGCGCTACCTTAATAGAGATAAGAGGGTTACATGAGGATTGGTTCAGGTGGAGGGAAAAAAAAGTTTATAAGATCAGACCGTGGCGGTAATGTGACGCAATCGTGGCAATTTTATAAAAGATTAGGTGATGGCGGCATAAAGGGGGTATGGGGGTGGTCTCTACGCTGCCGCAGACTTCCGTTTATCTTGGACATAACTTGCTTTTTATTGCGATTGAAGCCGTGATCGGTAAGTTTTTTTAACAAGCAGCTCCTAAAGGTGTCTGTCCCCTTCAGTCCCTGTGCAGTCTCTGGTGATCTGAGCTTCAGCTCTAACAGAGAGGCTCATGGAGCGCTGCGGCGCTCCAGTTTGCCAACTCAGCTGATTTTGTTCAAAAAGCAAACCTTATTGCCTGTGCTTACTTTCATTTTCAATAAATTTGCCAGCCGGAGCTCAGTGATAACTCCCCACGTCATCATGACATCTGCCTCTGTTGCGCCAGGGCACATACGACAGACCATTACTGCAATATTACTACCAAGCGAGGCGGAACGAATGCAGCAAAATTCGCGCAACTGGCGCGTTTATAGACATACCATTGCGGTAACATTACGCCGATTTGCCGGCATGGTGTGTCTTGTAAAAAAGGCTAGTTCGTTTCCCAATGCCAAGAAACCCTTCCTTGATGTCTTGGCCCCGCCCCGGTTGCTTAGGAGATGCGTCATCGGGAGCTGCCAAGACGTGTTCCAATGTTAATGTTCTACCGAGTCGTGTGTTCTCCGTGTGTTAGCTGTTTAGCTAGCTGAGCGAGGATACCTGGGAGGTGTCTTGTAGCCTAGCCTTGGTCAGAAATTACCCAGAATACACCGCGGTATTTTCTAAAAGACGGCAGATCAGAAGCCAGCAGCTATTTCGGGGACAATTTAAGTTTAAAAGTAAGTCAACTAATTTAAAATGTTTTTTTAGATCCAAAGAAGTTATCTATGGTTGGTTAGTTGCTTAGTAGTTGCAGCTTCGGTGGCTGGCGGGTAGTAACTCACTTATATTTTTCATTTAATAAACATAAATGCAATTCAAAAAGTAAAAGGCTCATTATATATTTATATTGAAACTAATACGTATAAAATATGTTATCTCCCGTGTCACATGATGCAAGTCTGTTCCATTTAACCGTTTTCTTTGACCAAGGAAGGACAGCGTCCTCGTAAGCAAGGGGCCTGGCCCTCGCAAGACATCGCCTCGCGAGGCCAGGCGGGTCTCCGTCCCGCAGCGCTCCTCCGTGAGAGCGGGGGTGGGGGGGTTGCACACGTTCTGCTGCTGTTTCTCACCAGTATCAGCTGATGGAGGGCTCTAGTTTCGTTGCGCTTTTCGTGTCAGCGGACATGGTAGGGTTGGGGATGGGGGCGGGGCATGACTCAGCCTGGCGGGTGGCCAAACAAAGCCTGGCGGCCCGCCAGGCTTATAAAGCGCTGGGGGAAACCCTGTTAAAGATGGTGGAAAGGGTCATTAGAGTGTTATATGTATGAAAACTACAGTAAAAAGGCAAGAAGGTAGTTATAAACTAGTAAAATTCAGTTAGTTTATTTGTGTTTAATAAAAATAAACAATTCCTACATTCATTTTAAACAGCGTAATAATATCTATATTAGTACTTGTATTGGCAAGTGCTGAAATGTAAGTACATAAAATTAAAATCCACAGAACGTCTGGTATTGGTGCATCCCTACCCGAAACCACAGACCATCAGGTGAAACACACATTTGTGTTCTGTGCAAACGTTAATTTGACAGCGATTCGACGTAAAAGTTGAAACTAATCTACGAGACAGACTCATTCCATGCAAATCTAGACATTTTAGCCTTTATCTGTTATAATTGTGAGGATTCTGGCTTACAGCTGACGAAAGCACACGTTCAGAATCTCAGACGCTTGGAGTGAAATTAAATGAAAATAAAATGAAATGAAAATTGTGGAAAGGTTTGTTCTTTTAGACTCAGTTGTCTCCCTGTAACTAGCTGATGAATCCAGAACAACTGCAGAGGGGTCCTGAGCCTTTAGATGTTCTCTCAAGCTGTTAATTTACTGAAATAAATGGACTTTTCCAGTTTCAGTAACAGGAAACGGTTTGAATGACTTTGGTTAACGCACGCATTCCTGCCACTTACCTTCCAGTTGGTGGGACTGGCGTTTCTGAGTCTTGGCTTGTGGCTGAGATTCAGTGAGAACACCAGACCGATCTTCAACATCGAGGAACTCAACTCCAGTACCTTTGTCATAGGTTGGTGTATAGTACCTTGTCAGGTGTGACTGTGCTGATGGTTCTTCACCCACATTCATAGCATTAACATTTGTCCAACCCCCCCTCAGCTGTGACCGTACTGATTGTTCTTGGGACCATAATGCTGATTGTGGTGACGTTTGGAGACTACGGAGCCTGCAGCGAGAAAAGAGGTGCTCTGCAAGTGGTAAGGCAGCCTTTTTATGTGATCTGTTACTTCCTGTGTAAACCAGGGCACGGGGTGGTGTTCCTGTTGGGCAATTGGTACCTCACGCTCACCTGCTTCAGACAGTATCAAATAACTCTTTTTTTAAATGTTTACTAATAATGGTGCATCTCTTCTTTGGGTTTATTAAACCTATATTTCTTGTTTTTGAGTCATCAGGACACGATGGCGACGCCTTACAGCTGGTTTAAAACGAGCTTTTCACATCATGTTTAGTCTTTGCTGACTTTGCTTCAGTGGCCAGGAGCCAGACCAATCCAGAAGAGGAAACGGCGCTTAGTGTGATGACACCTGTTCTCACCGTGCCTCCTCAATAAATGTTCTACTCAGTAGCCACGTTTACACCAATCAGTCAAACTTTATTTGTATTGCACTTTTCAAACAAAAGAAAATGCAGCTCAAAGTGCATTGAAGACTAAAATGACCCCAAATAACCCAAATATTCCCACACCTTCCCCACAAGTATAAAAACAATTATGAATTATTAAAGTTACCCTCGCATCTATCACTGGCAAATCAAAAGTGAGACGGATGACACAACCGCCCCCCTGTGGTACTTGCTTGTTACCACATTCCACCCGGCCACAATAAAAAACCGGCCATTATTCACCTCCACCGACTCCGACACCGGCCGTTAATTGAATACAGGCCAATATTAGAGGATTTACGGTATATATATATATATATATAATTATTATTATTAATAATAATAATAATGGCTAATATGGAAATAACTAATAAAAACTGATTAAAGAGATAGTAAAACATAAATGTCTAATGCCACTAAAATGGAAGTAATAAAATAAATAAATAAATTGATAAAACAGGAAGTGCAGCTAAAAACAGATATCAGTTAAAAGCCAAGCTAAAACAGTCTTAAATTTCCCCAATCCCATTCAAATCTTGGTTGATCGGAAATCCCGAATCTGTTCACATGGACACCTACTGAAATGATCCGATCATGCCGTGAGGTCATATGCACCAATTATTCAATCAGATAAAATAGGTTGAGTTTTCTTTCCCGGAAAGAAAAATAGTAAACAAACGTTCTGAAATGAAATAAAAAATGTAAAAACAGAAGAAATCAATTCTTCCTGCTTTCCTGGTTAATTTGATCAATTTAATATTTTTATTTTGCTCATAGAAGTTACGTTTTCTTCAGTGAATAACTGCAGATTTATGCTTTGCTGCATTTTATTGTCGACAATGTTAAAATTAAGGAGGGTTATCCTCGCCTCTGATCAGCGGGTCTGACGTGACGGTTGGGGGCAGGGGTGGGGGGTTGTGGTTTATTATTAATAAAATGGGTCAAGCCCTGCGATGAAATTGCTCTCTGTCCAGGGTGTACCCCGCATGATTGCCCATTGACCGCTGGAGATAGGCACCAGACCCCCTATGACCCTAAGTGGACAAGCGGGTTCAGAAAATGGATGGAAAATGGGACAATCAGCTGAAAGTGTTGAGAAAATTTTGTTCAAAGTAATGTAGAGAAGACGTTCCTACATTTAATTAGAAACCATAAAATGTAAAATATCACGAAGTATGAAATATCACCTTAATGGATCTTTAAGTAAATTTAACCAGAAGATCAGATCTTTTTATTGCAGGGATTGAGCAAAACTTCGTCTTAACTTCAAGAAAAGAGAGTGAGAGTCAAGTTTTAAAAGTTTAATGATTTATTACTAAACAAATTAAAACCAAACTAACTTTAAACACTAAATATATGGTGTAACTAAGGTGAAGTAAGACTGAGAATGGTGTACGTGTGAAATGTTCAGAACCAGCAAATCCGGAGAAACGATTAGTTCTAATGGGAGTGAAGAAGATGTTTCGCACTAAGCTTGATTGGCGATAACACACATTGAGACGCCATTCTGCCGGCCTACGTACCCTTGGCGGAGGTCCTTGTTAGATCAGGAATGTCGAGGTCCAGCTTGACCTTCTCTGGCACCGAAGCCGGTAGAAAAGCAGTGGTTGCCGACCAGACCAGTCTTGAGATACTTCCGGGTCACAACATTTTATTGGCATCTAGCGAGACCCAAAAAGGGAGTCGTGATGGTTCAGCTTTTATTCTGAAAGGAACCGTTGCAGCAGGTGGAACAGCAACAGATTTATCCAGCTTGTCGTTGGTTCTTTTGGCTGAAGAGAAAAGTTACGGATTGGCTGCTCCCGACAACTTCTCTAGAACGCTTGAACTGAACTTAAGATGACGTGGTAGGGCTGGGCGATACAGCCTCAAATCTATATTGCGATATAATCTGAAGCATGTGCGGTAACAATATATATTGCAATATATTTTTTCCTCTGTTTATATACCATAAATCCTCTAATACAGGCCCGGGCCTGTATTTGACTCAAGCTCATCAAGCTCCAGGCCTTTATTGGAAGGAGGACCAGAATTAGAGGCAGGCCTCTATTTCTATTTGAGCAAAATGAACTAATGGTTCGCTGGAGTTTTTGACAATTAAAATTGTGCCCACATTTTCAAAGTTGAACGCATTTCTTTTAACAACGGTAGTTTCTGCTTCAGCCCTCTCCCCCCTCCCCCTGCGCAGCGCCACAAACTCACTGATGCGCCTGCAGCCTCTCGGAGTTCCTGCTGCTCTAAACATTAAAATAATGATTTCATTTTCTGTTCCTCACTTCTGATGACCTTCAATGGTGTCTGTTTGTTGCAACCACCAGGTCCAAAAACTAACTTGTTTTTATTTGACTATTTTTCTGTCCTGCCTGTTTATTATCTTCCTGCATCTCCTCTCAATCCTAAAGAGAAACTGCTACCTGGGTTATTATATATTCACCTTATGAGTTACCTTTGAACTGCAGTTCTAAAAGATCTACCAACCGCAAAAACAGCAGAGTGCTCGCTGCTCGCCGGCCGCATCAGTGATCGGTGCGTCACCGGAGGACAAGGTGATGCGCCCCGCTCCACAGCAGCGAAACACATCAGGCGCAAATAAAAGACAGAAAACATTAAAGGAAATGAACCGACATGAACGATCGCGTGTCATTACCGACGCTCTGGCACAGCGCGTTGCCCCCCCGAGCGCAGGAGCTTGTCACCTGCTGATAGCAGGATGCTGTCTTTTCCGAGGGCTGCATGTTGCCAGTCATTATCACGTGACAGCGACTAGTCGATGACAGGCATAAAAAGTCACTATAGTGAAGTCGACTAGTTCATACAACCCCTGCTACTCCCCAGTGTTCTGCAGCATAATCAGCACGTTCTCTTTGAACTTGATATCAAATTTTCGCCTCCTCTTCGTCTCCGCACGGTTAAAGTTACCCTTGCGGTCTATCACTGGCAAATCAAAAGTGAGACGATGACACAACCGCCCCCCGTACTTGCTTATTACCACATTCCACCCGGCCACAATAAGAGACCGGCCATTATTCACCTCCGCCGACTCCGACACCGGCCAAAATATGAGACCTGGCCGTTAATTGAATACAGGCCTGTATTAGAGGATTTACGGTATGTCAAAATGACATGATTTAAATATCCTCATGTGGCAAATATATGCCACTTGAGGCATGAAGGCCTCCTCCACCCACTCCATGCTTGCAGTCACTGCCATTCTGTTGTCCCAATGTCAGCAGGGTGCACATCTTAGTGATGTCATAGGTTATCGTGATATCGCGGTATTGCGATATAGCCAAAAACTCTTATCATTACCCAATTTTATATCGTTTCTACCTTACATCGTTTATATTGCCCACCCCTAAGACGTGGGCATAGTTTTATAACTTGGATGTTTTGATTTACGGTCGAATCAAAAAATGACACCAAGAGGGGATTTACCAAGCACCACCAAAACCACGCCTCATGTCAGATCTGGAAGGCTCTGATTGGATCAGAAAAAGAAAATGTGTCATGTGATTCTTAACATTACGTGGATGAGAATGTCTAGAGGAAATATTTAAATTTATATTACTTATTATAATACTACTGATCATAACATTGTCATTTCACAGATTGGTTCACATTTTATTATTGGACTAACACTTTGTTTGATTAGCTTTATTAAAAATAGAGTTCTCCTGATTTATTAAAAGAAAGAGTCCTTTGTCTTCATTCTTCTCTTGAGCTGGCAAGGAAGACAGTTTAGAAGCCAAGCATGAGACTTTGAGCAATATCTCATGCAGATTGGGCTTGTGTCAGAAAGTTCTGGTTTTGCTTGAGCAGAGCAAAACAGAGCAGGGCATTTTAGGTCAGAAATGGACAATTCATCACGCTACACTAAATAACAGGAAATGTTTGGAAAGTGTCTGTGTTCATCATGTGTTCATAAACGAATCACATCTCAGTTAACGTGCTTTTACACAGATCGTCACCCAGAATCATTAACTGAGGATGTTTTACTACTCAACATCAGCCTCTTTAAACTAAAACCAGGTGTGTTTAACCGTTGTTACCCTGTCTTCTTTACGAGCACGCCTCCGTCCACCTACTGCAGAAACGGGGATTCGTGCGGCAAACCCGAAATGAATCTGCATGCTTCCAGTACAGACTTGAACATGTTTGCCAAAGGATTTGTGCAATAATCCGATTTTTATTGTACTTCCACAAAATGCAAGTTCTGGATTAGATGGTACGGAAATGGGACGGCTTGCTATCAAATTTAAACAATAATGAACAAGAGTCTGCTCCTAGACCTGCAGAAAGAGAAAGAATAGAAAAAATGGGACACACAATACATCAGGAGCAAGCTATCGCTGCGTCAGCCTGATGATGAAATATAAAATCTACATTGTTTAACTGAACAATCACACGACAATAAATCATAGTGCATTTAGTGGCAACGACAGCCTTAAGACAAGTGTTGAACGTGCCCAAGCCCATACTTATGTGAGCACCTGTGTGTGTACACGCGCTATCCAATAGAGAGTGTGAGGGGCCACAGATCTGCCCCCCAAAGATGTGTAGGAGACGGAGGGAGCTCCAAGTCCCAGAGATCCAGGCGCTGCCCCAGAACACAGGAACCCCAAGAAGACTGCAACCAGAAAGGCCCCCGCCCCCCTCGAGAGGCACAGAGGATCGCCCCGGGGGGCCACAACCAGCAGCCGGCAGAGTCCTGGGAGATTCCAGCGGCAAGCCCACAGGCCCGCCCGCAGCCTCTTATCCCCTAGCCGGCCGAGCCCGGGACCCAGCGACCCGGGACTCAGGGGCGACCACCCCCGCCGGGGACCCAGCAGAGCCCAGGGACCCAGACCCCACCAGGCAGCCACCGGGATTGATCAGGCGGATGCCAAAAATCTTAAACCCCCTGACCCGGGAGCCACGAACACTCATGCAGACCAAGGCACCGCACTCCACACCAGGTGTGGCGGGGGAGGGGAGACGAAGATCTATATCATCAAAGTCCCAGGAGAAGAGAGGAGTCAAAGACCCCACCTGACATATACAGTCATACACAAACACAGTCACACACTCCCTCCCTCATGCTCACACATGCACATACCACCAAAGACTTACAAAAATGCACGCCAGACACCCACTCATGCTCCCCATACACACCCTATTCACTCTGGTCCCGGTACTGCTGCACATGGGGTACACCCATTACCAGTTACCACAGTTTGACCCTTTCTGCTGGGGTGCTGATGAGCAGGCTCCCCCGCCCAATGCTGAGCACATCAACCCACCACCCCAGACCCCAACCAGACGGCCGGATCCCCCTCCTAGCCTCCAGCCCCAGGAAGCCAAGCAACAACAGAGGTGTGCTAAGACCCCTAGTCTCCCTCTACCTGCTCCAATATGGTGTTTTTGTGTGTTGATGAGGTGTATTCCATGGCTGTGGTGAGCGGGCAGTGCGGGCTAGGGCTGCAACAAACGATTATTTGGATAATCGATTAATCGGATGGGGTCTCGACACGATTAATCGATTAATCGGATTACATGGGGAAATTTTTAAAAACTGCTAGGGAAACGTTATTTCTCTCCTTCCTTCACTTTATTTAACACAACATTATTAGAAAACAGTTCAATAGCAGAAAAACAACATGCCATCACCTAAATTGTCTTATAAGGTGTATAGACAGAGACCCTAAGCTACATCTATCTGTGACCTAAAATGCTTGGTCCAAGTTAAACAGCTTAAGGGCAATTCTCATCTGTTTTGTTTGATCTCATCTGTTGACATTTATTTTAAATGTAATTAAACATAGGCTGTGAATTAATCAAAATTGATCACTATTTCCAAAAATGACTGAAAAAATACCAAATAAAACAAAAGTAAATGAATGCCATCCTCCTTGCGATGATGCCCTGGGCAACTGCCATAAAGTCACATCAAGAAATGCTGCTGATCATTCCAATGATCCCAAATAGACTCACATTAGGCCACATGAAAGCAACTGAACCCAAAAATATATTAACCAGTATATAACTGCACTCTCACACAACACGCCTGCAGCAACAGTTAGGACTCCTCCCTCCCTTTTAAAAGCGTTTTTGCTTCTGAGGACATTGTGGTTGTAAAACCACATGCTAGTAGTCTGGCCCCGGTGTGATCAACCAGTTTCTGCTGGAATGTGACGGCGGAACCAGGGCCAGATTAACACTTTGTTGTACCCTGGGCAACAATATTCAAGGGCTCCATCATCACGACCCGAGGATCACCATAATGTGGTCACATACAGAATATTTTACTGTAATATGCAGTAAATATACTCAATACTTGAATGCCTGACAACACGTAACCCGCCCAGAGTAACCTTTGACCCACCTCGTGTGGACTGACCAATGAGGAGAGGGTCTTAACTTGAGGCCTTCTCTTCATTGGTCAGTCTGCATGAGACTGACTCTCAACTGACGTTCAGTCGTAGGCAACGAAGCGTCTCTGTGCAGTGCAAAAGCCCGGGTGGACAGTTTGTTTAATGTAGGGTGACCATATTTCCATTTCCAAACAAGAGGACAGGGGATCTGTGCCTATGACGTCACACTATGGCAACGCCACACAAACCATGTTGGGACCCATTTTTTGTAAGAACTAAATTAATATCAGATTCTGCCAATAAAAGGGCTCTAAAACAATTCATATGTAAATATTTTGCATATTTAATGCAAAATCTAATTTTTCTGCTTTAGTGCTGCAACAAGGTTTTATTAATAATAAATTATTATACCTTTTGTTTTACTACAGCATCGGTAAGCTTCCTGTGCACAGATTATTAAGGATGCTTGTTTCAGCTGTGAGATTAGACGATAGGATCAATGAAAAAATAAGTTGTCCCACACTCCATATAAACTTTCAGAGAATCCACAAATAGTGGCTTTCAAATGGTTTTGTTACTTTTTGCAAGTTTAGAAAAGCAGCAGATGAGACAGCGTGTCTGATAATTTAGTTTTTCATCTGATAATATTAGAACATGTCAGTAATGTCTGAGGGGCTTTTATAAACACCATATAATTAACACTACTGGAGAGGGTACACAGAGGCTTCTGGGGAGCCCAGTTATTTGGGGGGGGGGGGGGGGGGGCATTTTGCCTTGGCCCCCAAAATGTCTTGAAACGGCCCTGGGTGTGTGACTGAGTTTTGAAGGTGATCTGAATTGTATCAGATGTATAAATATGACATGTGTAGAACTTATTGTTTTTTACTGGTAAAAACGTGTAGTGGAGATAAATCTACCTACATTTGACTTTTCAACACTTTGTTTTGTTTTCTTGTTTTTATTTAACTATTTTCCTGTCCTGTCTGTCTCTCATCTTCCTGCATCTCCTCATAATTCTCCAGAAAATCTGTTGCCTGGATTCTTACCTTTTCACCTCATCAGTTACTTTTGAGCAGATCAAAGGGATCTCCTGACCGAAAAGCGCAGAGCGCGTTTTCGATGCTGCGTCAGTGAGGTGACATCACCACAGCACAGGTGATGAGCTCCGCAGTAGCGAGCTTCAGGCACAAATAAGACAGAAAATAGAGAACATGTGCGGACATGAACGATCGTGTGCTAATTATAGTTTTTTGGTTGCGCCACTTTGAGAATGGACCGTGCGCTTGAAGCAGCTGCCTGGATCGCTGCGCAACAATGCGGAACCGGTTCGCAGCAGCGCAAGTCTGCCGGCTCTCCCTCACGCTGATCTGCGGCTCTCCCTCGCGCTGATCTGCGGCTCTCCCTCGCGCTGATCTGCGGCTCTCCCTCACGCTGATCTGCGGCTCTCCCTCGCGCTGATCTGACTTGCTCTGGTCTGCGCGCAACGGCGGGCGGGAAGGGGGGGGGGGGGCGCTTTTGGAAGAGTTGTGCGACACAACGAATCGATGACGCAATTCGTTGCCAACGCTTTTAGTAATCGATTTTCATCGAATTTATCGATTCGTTGTTGCAGCCCTAGTGCGGGCATTGTCTGGCCTATGCCAGCTGATGCCACCGCACCACCCCACTTGCACCCACAGCCCTCGGTGTCTAAGTGCAGTTTAAAATTGGAAGTGGGCACCGGCACTCGGAATGAGGCTGAGAAATCAACCTGTCAACTGCCGTTGAATGTGCTCACTCCCAAGGCCCTAAGTGTGTGTTTGCATGGAATGTCGTTGGTGGAAGTGTTTAAGGTGCAAATAAAATTGGGGGGGCAGGTTGCCACAGGAATGCGGAAATGGGGTCCATACCCACGCTCCCTGACTTGTCCACCCCCCAAGGTCCTTTGTGCATGATTGTGGGATGATGTGAAGGAGCAGGAGGAGAGAAATTGCGGGGATGGGGAGGAATGGCTGGTTGGGCATTACTTTACTCCAACAGGCAGAATAGCTGTGTGCATGTACGCCAATCTGAATGATCGGACAAAACCACCTCTCTCAATTGGATTGGAATTTCATCGGGCTGAAATGGATCAGAATATTTCGGTTGACATGTTTACATGCAGAGTTTCTGATCTGATTGGGTGTTCAATCCGATTAATTGTGCGCATGTAAACGTGACTAGTGACTTCTTTACGCTTACATGACTAATATAGGAGGAAGCGTTTCACTGGAGGTCAGTCTAAAGGGAATACTTGATCTATAATACTCAGGTGTTGGGTGGTCTGAGCAGGGCTGAGGCCAGAGTCGGTTGCTGCTGCGCAGAAATAGTTCCAGTCTTAAAAAAAAGCCAAACAGCTCAACCGCTTTGAGGTTTTTTATTTCTTTGCTGCCAGATTAACTTTTTTACCGGTAATCCTGTCCCACTTAGTCCACCATTGATGCAATCTACCGTTTGGCCTGCAGTGAATCCTGGTGTAGGCTTTGAGGATACACCAGACCCGTCCTTATGAGGAAGCATTTTAGCATCCTTCGCAGTTGGATGGCCTTGTTGCTTTGCTAATCAACCCTAGTGTCTCTGTTATGTGCTCCCTACAAATATTCCCTGTGCTGCACTTCCGCGTTTTAGAGTTCCACCTTTTACATTTCCCCTAATTCTGTCATTAATTACCATTTCTAAAGTCAATTTTATTATTTAGAAATTGCCTAGGTTTTCCCCTTGGACCACCTGGCTGTTGGCTTATCAATCTGGCCAACGCTGATCTCTTTCTACAAACCGAGGTCAATCTGTGAGATATCTGCAATCGGTTGAGTGTTTATGATCTTTCAAACAAGCCGAACGTTTTGAACGCTTCCTTCAGTTTGTCTCTGACGGCTCTCTTTCAGTTCTCGTGCCTTGTTGCTCTTCTGGCTGGAGCGGAAATATGTGTCGGCGTGCTCGCTTACAGCTATCGAGAAGAGGTAAATACAGAGCCATTAGGGTCAGCGCAAATGCACAAGAGTCCTCTGTTTCTGACTGTGGTAGTTTGATTATTCTACAGGTTGGTGTGAGATTGGGAGAGCTGTACACCAACATATATACTATATATGCAGCCACCGGAGACGCAGCCTTAGCCGTGACGCTCCTGTTCATCCACAACTGGGTGAGTCAGCCATTCCCTTCAGCACCAACAAAGCTCCGGCACAAGAGTTGCATTGCTGAATGTTTGATAGTAAACACGCTGATAATGCTCTACAGCTCCACTGCTGCGGCGTGACTGGAATCAAGCTAATCGAGACTGTGAAGGACACCTGTCCCAGTCCACAGGGCTTCCTGGAGCACATCGCTATGCCTGTAAGTTGGTGCCATGAAATGTGTTTCCCTCATAACTCATGTGACTGTAACTCCCTCCAGGACGAGTTCACGAGGAGTAACGTGAAGTAAAATAGAGGAGTGGATGAGAAGGCTCACATCGGGCACAGTAGCGCAGTTTGGAAACGCATTAACACTTTGTCCCGTTCTGAGCAAGCACCGTACAAACGGCAACAGTGGAAAGGAAAACTCCCTTTTAACTCATTCGCTAACAGCCGTTTCCTAATCGGTAAAGCCCTTTGCTGCCAGCGTTTTTACTGTTTTTTTAAGAGTCACAGAACGTTGCGCGCTAGGATGATGTCGACACCAAAACAAAACAAAGCGGATACTCGCCTCTTACATCAGGAAGAATCCGCGCGTTTCGAGCGTTATCCGTTCTTTCATAATCCGTTGTTGAATTGTGATCGGCAGAAGCTTTTCCGGTTCGCGTCTCACTTTTTTTTACAGCAGCGGCCCAAAACGATCTCCTAACACATGGATGTTCTGCTTCCTGGTCACGTGACGTGTGACGTATGTGGATGAAGATCGGCTTCAGAGCTGAGATGTTTGTTCTCACGATGCGGGGTCTCGTTCCGACACCCACGCTCTAAAAACATGCAAATGACGATTTTAGTCGTCATTGGCGGTGAATGAGTTAACAGGAAGAAAATTCTAGAAGGAAAAGGTTGCAGCAGGAACTGAAAAACGAGTGAATGAGGGCTTTAAAGTCCAGGTTGAAGGTGTTCACAGCTTCTTCTGGCTTCCTATAGAGTTGTCCAGTGACCATCATGGGCATCTTCAAGAGTAAAGCGTTCGTGATGCTGTGCATCTTTATTGGAACTGGAGCTCTTCTGGTAAGTTAAGCCTTCAGTAAACACATTTTACGGCTAGTGAATAGGGTCGCTGTTTCACTTGAAGGAGGAAAATTGACACCAGTTGACATTTGTTGAAAGCATAAATATAGTTGAACATAAAGTCAATCAGAAGACTAATATTGACAAAGTTAAGAAGTCAGAATGTTTTTCATTTCTGCTGGACAGAAGTCAGAAGCAACAGCTCGTTTTAGTATTTTGTTGATTTGACACAAAATTAATTTCAAGGCCTTTTTCTTGTCTTCGTATTTTAGGCTCAGATCATCAAAGTATGAAAGGAAAAAACTGCATACAGAATCAAATTTGAACTTAATATTTATTCATCTCTGGGAATCCATCTTTCCACTTTCTCTTTAAAAAATAAGATCATTTTGTCCGTTATGTTTTAAAGAGGCTTTTATTTCTAATTACAAACCTAAATCTGACTAAAGCTCTGAACTTTGTAAAAAGACAGTTCCATTTTTTCAAAAATTTCTGTGCACACAAAACATTTTGTTTTAATAATGGATGGATGCAATGTCCATATTGGAATGTGTGTAAGAGGCTTTTATTTTGAAATAGAAGATCAATACAGAGACAGTCTTTTCTCTGATGTGGAATATGTTTGTGAACTTAGTATTTGGTTGCAATAGAAGAAATAATTTTTGGGGACTTTATTTTGAAATGAAACACCAGATCTGGTTGAGGCTTTGTGAGTGGCATGTAGATGATCTTAAATGTGTTTTAAGCTCTAAAAATTGGGTTGAATGGGGCTTTATTGTTGGAAAACTGAATCAGATTCTGCAGAAACTCTTTGGTAAGTGGAGATGGTCTCCTCCCAGTCTAAAGTGAAAATGCTCTGCAGATGTAAAACTTTGCCTGTGAGTAATATTGGAAAACTAAATAAATTAAAACTTCTATACAACATTCATCTGACAAGTTCAAAACTTTTACTTTTACAATAATACCTTATGGGGTGCCATTTGTAAAGTCAAACAGTCATAATTTAGCAGTGTTTTGCGTTATTTAGCTCATCAAGAGAAAAAAGTTGAAGTTTTTCAAAGTCATATTTTATCATGTTATTCAAACATTTATAAATGTTAAAGAACCCAACAAAATGTATTAGCCAGCTAATTATTTCATTTAGATTTTAGAAACTAAATATTTAGGTCAGATGTAAATATTTAGTTCGTAAAATAAATATTTAATTTACTGACTAAATATTTAATTTGCTGACTAAATATTTAGTTAGGGGCTAAATATTTAGTTTACAACCTAAACCTAAATATTGATTTAGCAAACTAAATGTTTAGGTCAGACGCAAATATTTAGTTTGTAAGATAAATATCTAATTTACTGACTAAATATTTAATTTGGAGCTAACTATTTAGTTTATAACATAATATTTAGCCCCAAATAAAAATTTATTTTGGGGCTAAACCTAAATATTGATTTAGCAAACTAAATGTTTTGCTACAAAATAAATGTTTAGGTCAGATGTAAATATTTAGTTTGTAAAATAAATATTTAATTTACTGACTAAATATTTAATTTGGAGTTAAATATTTAGTTTAGAACCTAAATATTTAGCCCCAAATAAAAATGTATTTTGGGGCTAAACCTAAATATTGATTTAGCAAACTAAATATTTAGGTCAGATGTAAATATTTAGTTTTTAAAATAAATATCTAATTTACTGACTAAATATTTAATTTGAAGCTAAATATTTAGTTTACAACCTAAATATTTAGCCCCAGATAAAAATGTATTTTGGGGCTAAACCTAAATATTGATTTAGCAAACTAAATGTTTAGGTCAGATGTAAATATTTATTTTTTTAAATAAATATCTAATTTACTGACTAAATATTTAATTTGAAGCTAAATATTTAGTTTACAACCTAAATATTTAGCCCCAGATAAAAATTTATTTGGGGCTAAACCTAAATATTGATTTAGCAAACTAAATGTTTTGCTCCAAAATAAATATTTAGGTCCCAGCTAAATACTTATTTTGGAAAATAAACATTTGACTTATTAGCAAACATTTTTTATTTGGAGATAAATATGTAGGCTGTAAACTAAATATTTTGTTAGTCAATTAAATATTTATTTAACAAACTAAATATTTAAGTCTGACCTATTTCATTAAATAATAAATATATTATAAATAAATAATACATAAATATTAAACTATTTTTGTAAATACAATATTTAACGCTGAATTTAATATTTAGCTTGCGAGCTAAATTTTTGTTGGAAACTTTAACATTTACAATAACACTGTGAAAATATGAACCAATTTCCCATGTTTTTCTCCCTGATGATGGGCTAAATAACCCGAACCTACTGTTATTAAATTATGACCGCTTGGCTTTACAGATGGCACCCCATAATGCCTCACGTCTAAACCACACAAGGACTGATTTGACTGGAGTTTCGGTCAACTCTTTCCTCTTGGTATTTTTTATCTGAGCCTAAAATGGAAAGTTTCTGTTCTCATATTAAAAATACTTTTTCGTGTACTTAATTTGTGGTTGTTAATCTAAAAAGAAAAGACCAGATGATTGGCTGATTGTTTCATTTCAGTTGTTTTTATTCATGTCGTTTGTTTTTACAATTTATTTTCTCTCACTTTCCCGCTCATTGCTTTCCAAAGCTGGTGGCTCTGATTTGCAGTGTGGTGCTCGGTTGTCAGCTCCGACAGTCCACCTCATCTCCTCAGTACATTGTGCTGACTCAGAGCACTCCTGCCATGGTTACCCCTGAGCCAAATCCTCAGATCATCTCGAGCTCGCTGCACGATCAGGACCCCGTGGTCATCACGCCCCTTTCAGTGGTCACCATCCCCGTGCCTCAGGCTTGAGAATGCTTGTCAGTTTTTGTGCTCTGACGCAGCCCGTTGTTTCCTTCTCCCAGCATGGTTAGCGGTGTTTTCTACGACTTTTAAAGGGGAAATCCAACCTAAAGTAACAAACCTTAAACTGGTGTTGGGTTAGGGCTTCGTGTTCCTCATCAAGAGCTTTTATTTGTTTTTATTTATTATCATTTCACAGCATTTTCAGCTTTAATGTTTCACTTAGAAGTAGGGAATGCAAAAACTTTTGTTTTCTTTAAAGTTAATTTTAAACAAATGCGTTTTCTGTAAGTATTTAGCAAGTTACCCAACTGTACAACCAACTTAACGCCCTTCTCCACCAGCGCCTGCTCGCCGCTTCTTAACTCGGCTGAGTCGGCTCGGTGCTACACGGGTTAGAATAGAAGAGAATACAACAGAAAATGGGGATTTGGGGGTTACAGCAGATTTACAGGATCAAGAACCAAGTAGAAAAATGAAAAGGATGGCTTTCCATTACAGCTGAGGTAGGCTCGTCATAGCGGGCCGGCCCACAAGTGATGTATCTGTGCCACAAACACAACAGTGGTTGGATGTTGAACATCCTGACCATTGGGTGGAAACATGCCATTCCTCTGGAAGCTAAAGCCTCATCATTTGGAAACGACCTGGAAGCTTAGTGTTGCATCACCCCGCTAAAATTACGCTTCGAGTCTATTTTACGTGCAACGCTTCCAGAGCGTGTCAAGATCTGGCCAGACAGGAAGTCAGACACTCGAGCGGCGTAAAACATCCAGTAACTGTTAGTCAAACTAACTAAGCGTGTGGCTTAAACAAGTCTCTATTCTCTAATCCCAACACACACTCGTTGGTCATTCTGACAGAACTAAAGGCTACGATCTTAGTCGTCACATCGCCCACCCCTAGCCATATTCCCCCACTTAAGCCTTCATCACGAACAAAAACGTGGTAAAATGCTAAAGTTGCTGGTTGTTTAACGTTAGCTTCTCCAGATTTCACTCATAGGGTTGGATTTTGTCCTTTAAGGGTCTACTTATTCACCACTCATCACGTTTCTGCTTTGTAGATGGCTGGAGTGCAGAAAAGCCGTTTCTTTGACACCCGCTCGTTGTGTGACAGCTCTAATCCTTGTAGTGATAAAGAGGTGACCGCTACGTTTTGTTCTCTCACTTCTTTACTTTCCTTCCTTCTGTTTCTGCATGACAGATAACTGCCCTCATCTGCTCCATCGTTCTCCTGCAACAGCTCAAGAAAGTCAATCAGGCCATCAACTCCTATTATTCTGCTGTGTACTAAAGGAGAGGAGACGGGGTTTTCAACCCCCACCCTCCTCCACTTCATCAAAAACCATAGCTGAAAACCCAACCAGCAGATCAGTGTTCATGGATGATTCGTTGTATCTGAGCTTCTGCTCTCCATTCCCAGATTATTAGTCTACAACGTGTTTGTTGCACAACAAATCCTAACAGGCTTAGGAATAAAAATGACTGAGTACGTACTTAAATCTGAATAAACACACCCAAACGCTTGTTTACCCACAGTCAGCTCGACATTTTAGTCATTTCATCATCTGCTGTTTTGTAGCATGTATGGTTTTAGATGACGTTTTTGTTTTTTTAGGGAAAACACTGAGCCGCTAGCGTTTACGGAGAACTTATTGTAAAAGAAAAAGGGATCATGATTGTAGAAATGCAACATTTTTTGTATTTAGGTCAGATATTAACACGGTAGCCTCCGGTGCCTTGTTCACCTTCGCTGTGCCCTGTTCATTTAGCAAAAACTGTATTCCATTTCATTTCTGCCTGAATCATGCAGAGAATATAGTCGATGACTTTAAAATGTGAAATAAGATCGTGTTATTGAATGCAGGGTATCCGCGGGCCCTTAAAAAGTCTTAAATTAGCTTTTCCAAATTTAAGGCCTTAAAAATCCTTAAAAATGACAAATAATCCTTAAATACAGTTTCCAAAGGTCTTAAATTACCAAAGACCCAATAAACAAGATTCATTTATTTGTAGAAAATTTTCGTGAATTTCTAGTTAGTCTTCAGCGTTTTTTGTGTACGATATTGGCGTAAGCGGAACCGTATACATTCAGTTGGTTGTGAAAGGGGGCTATTTTTAGATGAGCACATTAGCTGGTTAAGCTAGTGGGAGCTTGCGCCATGGGGAAGTGTAAGCTTAATGGTAACTGGATGGCTAATCCCACGTTCGCGGCGCGGTTAGCACCGGTTCCAGGCAATAGCTGGAAATTATAGCTTACATTTAATTTTAAAAATAGCTCAAATTTTTGTCATCAAAGTGGCCTTAAAAAAGGTCTTAAAACGTCTTAAATTTGGCTGCCTTACACCTGCAGATACCCTGTTAATGTTGTGTGTTTAACATTCAGATCTGTTTTTTAAACGTAAATCAAGGTGTTGCTTTTGTATAAGGTCCGAAAAAGCTGTAAACCATTAGTTTTGTGGTAGAACGTTTAAGCTGAATGCCTTTGATTGCTTTTGTTTCCGTCCCTTTTTTTATAGTCCAGACTATTGCATCATACCTTCCTTTTATAGCAAGATGATCAATGGGTTTGCAACATTTGTGCACATTTCAATAAAACATAAAACAATGCAGTTGTGTTTAAAGTGCCTTCATTTCTTGAGCCACGTTTGGGAGGTCTCCGTTTGAAAGTAGCTAAAACGATAACGAAGAAGACGACTTGGTTATTTAGATTTAAATCATCATTTAAATGAACTGATAGCTTAGAAACTTTGAGAAGAATTCTTCACGAGTCATATTTTAGGCTGAGAGCAAGCTGTCTGAGCAGCTCCTTAGCCTCAGAAGTTAGTGAGTCTTGGCATTCGACCCTGAACTGATTCAAGGGTTCCGGGTGAAAGAATAGGCCCTCCTGGGCCCAGCATCCCCTTCCCAATACTTGGTCAGAACACTTTAGAATAAGATGTATAATTACTAGACCTCTAAAACAAAATTTAAAGAATGAATGAAAAAGATCACAGGCGTTGCATTGGTTATACAACGCTAGGTCAGCTCTGATAGTCACAGGATCAACATCGGAACAGCGCTCGCTCCATGGGTCTGCCATCACAGTCCAGCAGGATTAATCTGCGCTATCAGAAACAAGGCTGTGTGTAGTAAGGCACCAGTGGGTTGTCCTATCAGCAGACAAAGTGTACTCTTGCCCTGAAAGGAGGAGAAAGTTCTTTCTGACCGGCTGGTATGCAGTGGCGGATTTAGCAGTTTTGGATCCCAAAACTGCTACTGATTCTTGATGAATCAGTAGCATTGTAAAAACACCAGCAACACACTTTTTACTCTTTTCGTTCTTTTGATTTTCAGAACTCATTGAATATTTTCACTTCATTCTTGCATAATTCTTCTAAGTATTATTTGCATTAGAGGACATGCTTACTCATTAGTCGTTAGCTTTTGTTGCTGCGGTCTTGTAATAGTCCATTGCAGCTGGGTGACGGGGGACTTTCGAACCTTTTTGCACAAGGTAAACTGATACTATTTCAGAGTAACTTTTATCTATCTTGTTCGCTAATCCGGGGTCGGTTCACGGGGGCAGCAGCCTAAAGTGAGAGGCCCAGACTTGCCTCCCTCCAGCCACTTGGGCCAGCTCCTCCAGAGGAATCCCAAGGTGTTTCCTGGCCAGCCAAGTAACATAATAATAATAATAATACAATTTTATTTTATTTTACATTGTCCCTCCAGTGTATCCTAGGTCATCCCTTGGGTTTCCTCGCAGACTGTCATGCCTAGAAAACCTCACAAGGGAGGCTTTCAGGAGGCATCCTAACCAGATGCCCAAGCCACCTCAACTGACTCCTCTCTATGTCAGCGCCCTTTGAAGTGTTTAGGATCCAAGGCAATAATCCTAGCTTTGCCTAATGGCAAGTCTTTGGCCCAATCCTAATCCTCGCACTTCCACCCTTGCACCCTTCAACTGCGCGATCCCAACCAGGGGTGTGAGTGCGTAGGATGTCCCGATTCTCAAGTGTGGAAGTTGATCACGCCCCTTTTGCACCCTTGATTCGCATTTCACCCAAGCGTGCATCGATACAGACTTGGGTGATGTGTATTACCCACAATCCATTTCTGCGAGAGAACAGGCTCAAGTGCCTTTTCTGAAAATATGTATTTTCTAATGAAAGTTGTTCATTTCAATTCATTTTATTTAAAAGCACCAAATCTCGACGAGTCGTCTGAAGGACCTTCACATAGTCCAATAAAGGTCAGTTCATGAAGCCAATCAGTAAAAAGTTTCCTATATAAGTGCAACATCACGAATGGCAGCAGGTTGCATCGAGTCACTGACTAGTGTCAGAGTCTTTACAGCAATCCTCATACTAAGCAAGCATGCAGCGACAGCGGAGAGGAAAACTCCCTTTTAGCAGGTAGAAGCAGTGAATGTAAATTCATTTCAAATAACTAGTTGGTTGTTTCAAAGTTGTTAAAGTTAAAAAGAAATGAATCACAGCAACCAGCGTCTGTTGCGATCGATGACGCAATGCTCCTTGTCTCAATCTGGAGCTGCATGGTGGCGCAGTGGTTAGCACTGTTGTCTCGCAGAACAAAGTTTGCAGGTTCGAAACTCGGCTGCAGCCTTTCTGCGTGGAGTTGCGTGTTCTCCCCATGCATGCGTGGGTTTCCTCCGGGTACTCCGGTTTCCCCCACAGATCACAACATGCCCTATAGGTTATAAATTGTAAGTCGCTTTGGATAAAAGCGTCTGCTAAATGAATAAACAAACTTTTGTGCTACACACTTGAAGCCTTACTTTCTCCAAGTGCACTTTGCCGAAGACTGCAGGGCAAGTATTGGGATTGGGCCTTTTGGTACACCATATCAGGCCTGGGTCTTCTAATATCAGTTCATTTCCATTTTGGAAATACAGAATTTGCTAATATGAGAAAGGTAACCCCTAATGAATACCCAACCGCAGAACAGAACTGTAGACGTCTTCTCTTTGCTTCATTTTTGTGTCAGTGAATTTAGAGCTAATGGGTTTGCCATAAACCTGTTCAGGGAGGTTGTCTACTGTCCTGTGGACCTTAAACTTCTGAATAATCAATCCAACTGTAGACAAAGAAGCATCCAACTGCTTAGAGATAGTCTTCTAGGCTCTTACACAATGGCGCCCCCTTGTGGTGCCCATGGTCATGCTCAGTCAAACCATAAATTGATCTCTTTTGCTCAAGACATAATTGTAAAACAAAATAAAAAAAATCCAATTATTGAGTAAAGAAATAATCAGAATAAAAAAATACTTGTTTGTGATGCTCGCCGTTTGAAAAAAGGTTTTATCTCCACAGTTTTTGTGAACACAGGAACAGGTGAATTAAAAAAATAAAATACATTTTAAAATAAAGTTTGAAATAACATTTAAATAACTGAAATGTATTTTCCTGAAATGTTTGTGTTTGTAAAATTTAATTAAGTGTTTTGGATGCGTACTATTTTTAATAAAAATGAATAAAGGAGCAATGAAATACATCGTCACAGGCTGAACTCTCCCAGAGTTACCACAAGGACGTATTTGGTGGGCCACCCCAAAATTTTCTTTGGCCCTGTCTGGCCACCCCATCAACATTTTCTGGAGGCGCTCCTGCAAGTGAGTTTGTTTCCTGTAGTTCAGGGATTTCCTAAGTGTGGTCCAGGGGTGCGCGAGCTGCCGCTAGGGGGTGCGCGAGGTGAAAAGTGTAATGGCTGCGGAGCTCAGAGATGTCTGTCATATGTCACCATTAGCGTAGCCAGAAACTCATTTGTGGGTGGGCCTAATAAATGCAATTGAAAACAAGTTTATTTTGTGTGTGTGTGTGTGTGTGTGTCCTCCGCATGCGCCCTAGCTTCATAATAATAATGCGCTCCGAGCTTCAGCACTCTGGCCTGCGCACGCTGTTAATAGCAAGATATGTTCCGTATTTGATCATTTTTAACGATGGAGAAATCTGAAGGTGGCGAGTCATTCTGGCAGATTGTAATTAACACCTGTCTCATGCAGGTGTTCTGACATTGTAAACCTCACACACAGAACATTGTGGATGTAACTAAATAAATCAAGAAATGATTCCCATTTGAGCATTTTAGCATTATTATATTATTATATTAGCACACTGACTGTGGGACAGCATTGTAAACGTGTCAGGCTATTAACAGCGCGCTGAAGATCTGAAGTTCAGAGTGCGTCTGTCAGAGGTCAGACGCGTTCCAGCGGAACCACGGCTCACGGGTGCACATGTGAGCACATCTGGGCTGGGCAGAAGTAATTTTACAACATTGGTTTAAATATCGCCAATAACGAGACGCAGTGACTGGAGCGGCTCATGGAGCTGTGCCGCACACACACACACACACACTCATGCTGATTCAACAAGCGCACGCTGCGCAAACTCCGGCGCTGCGCTGCGCCGTCAGACTGAAGACAGAAATGAGCGCTGCCTCCTCTGTGATAAAAACTTTTAAGAGGTTTTATAACATTTTTCATTCAAGGTCAAATTAAGATATTAGCTTCTATTTTGGGATGACGTATTAAAGTCGAGTCCGCTCCAGCCAGTGACTCCTCATGAACATGACCACAACTCATGTTACTGCAGCATTTGTTGTTCCAGTCCGCGTGGCAGCGGATCGCAGATTCAGCCACACCATAAAACAGCAATAAGTTGGTCTGAGGCAAAAGTGAACCTCATGGCTTTTCCATCTTTTCCCCCTATAGACATTTGATTACGCACAAGTAGGTGATCAGTTCAGGTTTACACAGAGCAGAAGGAAGGAGAGAGCTCTGGTTAAACGTTCCTACTTTAAGAAAACCGTTAAATTGCATTGTTGATGTGCTACCTGGGCACTCTAAATATTGATTTAAAATTAAATCAAAGGAAATTGTAATAGTATTGAATGTTTATTAATTACTATATCAAAAATTAAAGTGATGGGGAAAAAGGTCGATCATATTTTTTTAACTGTCTGTCGAGTGACTGTTTAGCTTGATGTCTGAGATATATATATATATATATATATATATATATATATATATATATATATATATAGCCATGCCCTGATGTAGGGGCTGGGGGGTGCGTCGACATGGTCAGGACATAGAAGGGGGTGCGCGGCTAAATAAGTTTGGGGACCGCTGCCCTAGGATGTTCTGCATTTGTTTAAACTGAAGCAAAATATCCAGTTTCATCCAAAGCAGGACGTGAATAAAGTTATTTATGCTAATGTTCAACTCAAATTTCCTTTGTTTAGTTTGTGAACAGCGTGCAAAAGTTAAGTCAGGCCAGTTTATGATATTTACATGTTTCAGATCAGCTGTGCAATTTCAATATCAGAAACAGAATTCAGGTTTTGAAATAATTTCATCAATTCAGAGAAACGGTTTCCAAACCAGCCTGGTCCTGAGGTAAAGTAACTGACCCTCAAACATAATACCTCTAACACGCTTGTCAACACCAACCTGTGATAACCGATGAGCCTCTTTCATCACTGAGATGGGATTTTGTACCACTAGATTATAATCCAGCCCCATTAGGGGCTTTTCCAACATGAACAGCCTGTTTAAAGGTGCATGATGTCAGAGACATCCTGTGGTCACATTTGGGTACTGCAGTCC